AATTTTGCTAAATTATGCCGGGTGTATACAACCACGGGGACAGCGCTATAGTATACACAGAGGATGTCGTTATATCAAGGATAGAAATTAGGAAAAAATCAGGACCTGGGCACCATGTCGCTATACACAGAGGATGTCGTTATATCAAAGTTCAAATGTGGCTACAGAGAGGCTACACTGTAGGCTTGCTACGTCAGAACCATCAGAGGTGGCGTCAGTGGTCTAGTGGTTAGGGTATCGGACCTGTAATCGTGCTACGTCAGAACCATCAGAGGTGGCGTCAGTGGACTAGTGGTTAGGGTACCGCACCTGTAATCGTGCTACGTCAGAACCATCAGAGGTGGCGTCAGTGGTCTAGAGGTTAGGGTACCGCACCTGTAATCGTGCTACGTCAGAACCATCAGAGGTGGCGTCAGTGGACTAGTGGTTAGGGTACCGCACCTGTAATCGTGCTACGTTAGAGGTGGCGTTAGTGGTCTAGTGGTTAGGGTACCGCACCTGTAATCGTGCTACGTCAGAGGTGGCGTTAGTGGTCTAGTGGTTAGGGTACCGCACCTGTAATCGTGCTACGTCAGAGGTGGCGTTAGTGGTCTAGTGGTTAGGGTACCGCACCTGTAATCGTGAGACCAAAGATTCCGCTACCTGTCCCCGGCGTTTTATGCAAAACAATTCTGAAATTACGCAAACTGAGCCCAAAAATGTGAAATTATGCGATTCTGTTAATTTTAACTAAGAATGATAAAGGAAAATAATCAGAAATTATGCCAAAAAATGATCAAATTTTGTTACATTATGCCGGATGTATAAAACCACGGGGACAGCGCTATACACAGAGGATGTCGTTATATCAAGGATAGAGATTAGGAACAAATCAGGACCTGGGCATCATGTCGCTATACACAGAGGATGTCGTTATATCAAAGTTCAAATGTGGCTACAGAGAGGCTACACTGTAGGCTTGCTACGTCAGAACCATCAGAGGTGGCGTCAGTGATCTAGTGGTTAGGGTATTGGACCTGTAATCGTGCTACGTCAGAACCATCAGAGGTGGCGTCAGTGATCTAGTGGTTAGGGTATTGAACCTGTAATCGTGAGACTAAAGATTCTCCTACGGTCTTTGGTGAGACTGCGGGTTTGGCTGTCCTCGTGGTTTTATGCACCCCGCATAATAGCAAAACTCGATCTTTCTTTTTGCATAATTCTAGCATCTGTGTTTGTTGCCATTTTTTGTCCAAAAGTTGCCACAAAAAGTGACAAAGGTTGCCCAAAAAGTTGCCATTAATTTCCAAGCTTTCCACTCTCTGTGACGACCTATATATAGCAATATATTGATAGAGGTAACTTCTTCTAAAGCACAAGAATTTCTTGTGCTCTGTTTTAAGCATTCAGAACATCATTTGTAGTCACCCAGTGTATTAAATCGTGAAAAATAAAGGTTTCACAACGGAATGAAATCAAAATTAGAACAGCACGGATAAAATAATAACCACAAAAATTAACTAATTTGGGCGCGTGTACACCTATCCGAAGATTGGCTGTTTAAGGCATGATGCGGGGAAAGCCATGGTCAATAAAAGACGTCATTTTTGAGTCTCAGATCAAAATTGGGCTGTTAACGGATTCAAATACTTTGAAATGTCTACTTTCCTAAAATGAAGGTCTTATGTCCCTGTCAATAGCAGAACATGTTCATAAACACTCACAAAGATGTCACCCCCTTTCTTCTAACTCTAAGTGAAAAAACCCCGCAATTTTTGCCATAAAAAAACGTCGTTTTTATGAAATGGGCATGGGCATAAAGCTTTCCACTTTCCACACGCTCAGAAATCAGTCATGTTATACATCATTTTGAAGATTGTGATCTCTAATTTCGCGAAATGGCGATTCAAAAGCAGTTCGGACTTGATCATTGATGTAAATAAGTTACAAGTAATATGTCTATTTCCATTATTATTTAGCTGAGAATGATATGTCGTCGTGATATATTCAACTAGATTACTGCGCACGTGCACGTGCAGTTTAAAACATGTTTAACTAAGTTCAAATTCAAGTTAATCATTATTTTATGAATAAACTCCCTTTTACAGCAAGAACTGGTCAAATACAGAAGATTTCGGCCAAAGCCCACTCTCATGGGGTCGAAATGGGGATCGTTCCCCCCCCCCCTCCCCCCGCGTCATACGGCCCTCAACGAGAGCTGGGAAAGAGCTTCCGAATTTCCGGATAAATCTGGAAATCCAATTCCTGAAAAGTCCGAATTTTTCCCGACAGGCCGATCGTTGAGAACCTGTTGCACATAAAAAAAAAAATAGTCTTGACAAGACAAGGGTGACAGCGCAAAAAAACAACAAAAAAACTCATACAGAAAACACCATCCATCTTTTCGTTTTACGGTGACAAACGTATTGTGCGGGACGCCACGTATTCGGATTCATTCTCGCCGCCGCCTGCCAACTCTTCTGCTTTCGCCCTCGGCATGGCTGCGTAGAGTCGGAGAAACCAAGTGGTTTTTCGAAACAATATCCATCGCTGAGGGAAGGCTTTTTCAATATTGGCAGTATACGAAAGTCTGACCCAGCGATCGTAACCCAAAGGTAAACAGATCCCCACAAGCCATTGTCTCCACTCACTGACCAGCCAAAAACCCTCCCACACGAGACGCCCTAGTTTGGGCAAGCCTTGAAGTCCCCAACAAGTATCTGAATAGGGTTATACCGTGAATGCAAAACAGTTACGGAAAACTTCCGTTCTAACTTATTCTAAGTACATATTTTAGAATTCGGTTGTGAATACAAAAAGCATAACAGCGGTTTGAACTGAGTTCTAGAATATCATGCACGAAAAATCTTGAACTGTGCGGAGATAAACATTGCACGAAAACGACCATACAAGTTTCTGTGTCGTCGTTGTAAACTTAGAGGGATCAATGGTGGAAGAAAAAGACTAGAACAAAAATTACCAGCTGAGGACATAGACCAACCTTCCCTGAGCCTGAGAGACAACAGGGTCGACATTGATGAGTAACCGAATGCTGAGAGTGAGACACCAGCGTGGATGGAAAGTACAGTCAAACCTGTGTAAGACGGCCACCCATTGTCAAGGAGAAAAGTGGCCGTATAAGACAGGTGGCCGTCTTAGGCAGGACTGATC